TTGAAAGGTGTTTAGTATAAGCAAACAGGCTGGGGGTAAAATCAGACTTATCCAAAAAGATACACTCTGTGGAGAATTTGACAAAATAGTTTTAAGATCTGTTTTACAAGATTTACTGAGCACCACCCATAAATCTATCCTATTGAAGCACTAGACAGTTTCAGTGTCATTCCCAGGAAATCCTACTTATCCAGCCAGGATCTCTTTAGTCTGGGGGGAAAAAAATAAAAAAATTGCCCTGAAAAAAACAGAACAAGTTTTAGACAGAGCTCAAGTGCTTCCTGCTTCTAGATCAGGGCAAAAATACTCCAAGAACAGTCTTCTGGTATTCCAGCACCTCCACTTTCAGCCAGAACAAAGCTGTTCTTGGAATAGGGGAGGAAGAGGCGAGGGAGTAGAGAATGCCACATTAAACTTCCCAAAAGCGGTATGGCAGAGTCTTGAAAGGAAGGAGGCAGGGATACTTCCATGCACATATGCCCTCTCTTGACATGCAAAAAGTGAGCTTTTCAATCGTGTTAACTCAACTGAGTTACAGGCAGTCCTCGGACTTACGACACAATTGGTGCCTTACAATTGTGTCATAAGTCGGAACGTCGGAACTCTGAACCGCAATCTACTCCACTGCGGGATCAAGCATCATAAACTCAAAACCTATAGTCATAAGTCGAATCAGGATGTCATTGTAGAAACGTCGTAAGTGCCATTCGTCGTAATTCGAACGTCATAAAGACGAGGACTGCCTGTATTTTAACTCAACTGATGAAAAGCCTTGGTAAAATACAGCTTAACAACACTGGAAGCTGTTTTACCTGACTGTGTTGTAGTAGAGGCTCCCCCCAGTTCTAAAGTCTAATTAAATTATGTCAGATGGTTCTCCTCTATCCAGTAATTTATTGACATGTTCAAAGATTTCTAGTAGATGAGACAGGATGTTTCTCTACAAAAAACATGCTGGTTGGGCTCTTATCACATCATGATTTTCCAACTGTATTTTTAAATAATTATTGTATTTTTAAATAATCATTTCAACCCATGTACCAGGTATAGATGTAAGACTTATTGGTCTGTAATTCTTCAGATTACCCTACAGCCTTTTTTAATATAAGCATAACTTTTGCTACCTCCCAGTTCTCCAATACAGTAGCTGTTTTTAAATAAGATATTGTACACTTTTGCTAGGAGTTCAACTACTTCATAATTAAGCTCTTTCAGAACGATGGAATTTACAGTTCCTGGCCCAGTGACACTACTTTTTTTAAAGTATCATTTGTTCCAGTACCTCCTCTTCTGACACAAAGATGATTACCAGAAAAACAGCAGGTCTGTATCTTTCTGCTGTTACTCTTTGTCAGACAGAAGACAAGCTCAACAGGGTTTGGGAATATTTGCATTGCCTTGAGAGGCTATGTGGCTCAGTAGATAAATTCCCACATGTGACCTTGGGCAAGTCACTTCACCTTTGTTTATCTTCTCACCCACTACCTTCTCAACTTAAATCATCAACTTTTCAAGGTAAACACCATCTCTTACTATGTGCTGGTACAATGCCTAGCACTCTAGGCCAGGGTTTCTCAAACTGGGGTCACCGTGGGCCGGTTTGTTTACCTGCCCCGTCTGCAAATCAGGCCGATCGCGGCTCCCACTGGCTGCGGTTCGCTGCTCCAGGGCGAAGGGGGCTGCTGGAAGCGGCGCGGGCCAAGGGACATAATGGCCGCTGCTTCCAGCAGCCCCCATTGGCCCGGAGCAGCGATCTGTGGCCAGTGGGAGCCGCGATCGGCCGGACCTGCGGACACAGCAGGTAAACAAACCCGCCCGGCCCGCCAGGGGCTATCCCTACACAAGCGGCGACCCCAGTTTGAGAAACCCTGCTTTAGGCACTACTGTCATGCAAATAATAGGTAAAGATTCAACTTGTAATAACAAATCTGAAATGCCAGAATACTAATTCCTTACTTCTAAGTGTCCTTTTAAAAAAGTGATCTGTTTTTCTGATGTTTACAAACCATAAATATTCATACTTTCTTAACACAGGAAGGTTAACAGGTTCTTCAAAGTGATTCCGGTATTGATTAGTGAAGACGTTTGATAACAAAAGTAACGTTCAGTTTGATATCTAATTTACTGCACTTTATTCTCTTCAGCTTAATGAATATAAATGCCTTATAGCTCGTGTAAGCAGATAAGACTTCTTAATTACTACAATGAGCATCTCATGTTAATTATAATCCCCCAGAGTAATAGTTAGTTTGTATATTCTGTTTTGAGCTCAGTGATAATCCTATATAAAAAGAAACACTTCTGAAGAGACAAAGGATTTTCTCCCCTGTGAAGTTATAAAACCAGGCCAGTTAAGTAAAGCACTACTATGCTCTATTCATGTTTCTAATGCATTAAACAGCCACATCATAATTTAATATGCATGTTCATGAATGATTTGCTAGCTAGTTATGATAGAGAAAGAAGAACATGGCAGTTAACTATTGCACTACACTCTCAGGTTACAGCAAAATGTGTCCTACATTCCTTCATTATTTAGGTCAAAGAAATAGCTTACTCAGAACCCACATTCATATATACCATACATTCTACGCCTCATGTGGCACACTGGTATGAGATGGAATACAATGTAGGTGAACTGAGTTGCCTGACTACAAGAGTTACTTTAGCATGGAGCATGTGGAAAAAGGAGAAATCAAGTCAGAGTCTAGCCTTGCACCAAAGCCTAAGACATTTTCCTAGTCACTAGAAAAATAGCATTAGAGCCAACTGAAGAGGCCAGCCAAAAGATCAGCCAAGAAATTAGTCCGAGAGTCAGAGCTTAGCCATCTATATTTAGCATCAACAAAGGCAAACATACAAGTGGCTAATGTTTGGAACGTAAGCAATACAAGAAGGCAGGAGCCAACTAGTCTCCCATGTAACAATAAATCTTAGATTGCATTGCTTTTGAGGTAAAGAATCTAGAAAAGTATTAGGACTGAGAGTATGGCTTATTCATGGTTATACAAGAAGCAAGGTTGGTTGGCACAAATTTGATAGCAAGAACTGAGACATAAGTTAACTTAGAACTCCTCTAGGATTTCAAACAAGATGAACAAAATGAAAATGAACAACCAGAAGTCATTAGTGTACTTTAATATGTGTACTTAAGTGATTTATCTACATCTAAACATATAACAGTTGTGTGATTGCAGCTAATCAAACACAACCTTTGGCTTTTGTTCAAGTTCAGATGGTACCTTCCTTGCTATTTATGGTCAGTGTAATTTATTTGTAACGTTTACGTCTAGGACTATCCAAAAAAGTTTACAAGAATCCTAGATGAACCCCCCAAAATTAGAATAGTTAAAAAAACTCTAGTGTAACTGTGAATGAGTGTGTGTGTTCTCCCCACTTACCACCCACCCATTAGACAGAACTCCATTTGGGTTGGGGAAAGTACCACACGTGGTAGGAGTACCACAATAGAGAACCTAAACTGAAGTGTTTAACTGGAACACACTATGCAACAAGTTGTACCAATCATAGCATGAACAAGAATTTTCAGCTTCAGTTTTATAGTGTTGTATCTGTAGTAGTGTTAGGCTGATTTATGAAACTGCAATTTCTTAAGGATCTCCAGGGTAGTGACAGGGTGAGGAGGGGACTAGAGTTGAAACCGGATATCATCTTAGGGCTCATCTACATGAGAATTTTTGTTCCATTATACCAGTATAATTATACCATTATAGCTAAGTCATTATAGTTATATTGGTATAAAATCTCTGTGTGGACAATCTTATTCCAAAATAAATGTGGCTTTTTCAGTTTAGCTTAAAGCACCTCCAAAAAGTGACAAAATTAACCGGGAGAAGTCCCTTTCATACCAGACTAAGAATGTCCACGTGGGAGTTATACCTGTAAAATTACAGCAGTTAAAATTCACAACTTACATTATACCAGTATAAGTTTCCCATGCAGGCAAGCTGTAAGGGTTGCCTAAAAGGCCTACTCATTCTTCCCCAGGCTCAGAACCTACTGCCTACCTAGAAGTCTATCATACTGGTTCAGACAAGTGATCCATCTAACAGTATTCAAAAGAGGTGCCAGAAATCCTGCAGGAATATAACTATGATAATTCTGGATATTCCTGTTATTCATACAAATGTCTAATCCCCTTTTGAATCCCACTTTTCCTCAATGACATGCTGTGGCAATTAATTCCACAGGCTAACTGTGCGTGGAAAAAGAATTCTTTATCAATCTTCTATTTGCCATTTTTTCAATTTCACTGAATGCTTCCATGTTCTTTTATTATACAAAAGTGTGAACGGAAGTAACTAATCTATTTTCACTATACCATTCTCAGAATGAAAGCACACACAGTTCAACATACTTTTACTTGTAGTCATGCCTTTTTCACCCTTCAATTTTTGAGGAAATTATCCCCTGTGGAGTTGTTTACTTCAGAGACACAACTTGCAATCATATGCATGTAAGCAGGGATCAGCACAATATCTAAAATCATAGTTGATGATTGGATACATGTGTTTCACCTACAGGCAGCATATCCTTTCTGAATTCGTGTAATAAGGAGACAAACAACTGCAGCTACAAGATAATTAACTACAAGGGTTGCTCTTTCAACAAAATAGCAGTAGCATAAAGAAAAACAGATTTTTCCAAACATCTTCAAACCAGTCTATCAGCATGCAAGTCCCAGTGTACCATTTTAGGAAGACTATTAGTTATACAGCAATTGTAAAACAAATTGACTATTTCTTGCCAAATAAATATTGCAATTATCTAAAGGCAAACATTAATATTAATTTGTATTCTGGTAATGCCTTCAATGTGCTATCCACAGACACAGAAAGACAAAGCCCACAGTCCAGAAAAGAAAAAACAAAACAAAAAAAACGTATGTTACTTGAGTGAAAACCCATGTACAACTTTTCCACTCCCATTTTTAAAAGAATTTATCATGAACTTGTTCATGTGGAAGCTTTGTTTCTCACCTGTCTGTTCCGTTCGTCCATTATTCTTGTGATTTGTATTTTCTTCCTCCCCATTTTCACTCTCTCCTTTTCTTTCCCTTTTTACAATCCAAAAACACACTAAATCCAAGAATTCTCACTCTTCAATATATTAACACATGGTACACAGTTCTTTTCCACTGTTTCGTCTTCCACCCGATGAAAAGGTTGCTGCTTCTTGTTACAAAAACCTAAAATAAAAAGAAATACTGAAATAATTTTGTTCCTTCTATATTTTCAAAGTTACAGACAATTTCACATAAAAAATTGTGTTTGCACATTCAAAGCAATTCTTGTAAAGATGAACCAACTCATCTCTCTCTCATCAGACATCCTGTCCATTACTATCATACCAAGGAAAAGCAAGTGATGACTGTAAATTAAGCATTTGAGCTGTTTCACAGAACCTACGGCCAAGAGTCAAGTGATCAGTGATTTTGGGTCCTCCATTTGGACATGTTAAAAAAAGCCCCTTTCAAGGTGTCTCCAGTTGAGCAGTCAAAAACTGGGGCACCCAAAAAATTCACTTCTGAGAATCATCATCTAAGGTTTGGGGAAATTTAACCTTTTTTTTTTTTATAAAGGTAACTTTTTCAAATATTTGGCCACAGACATGATAACCCTTTAAGTTATGCTCTTTGTAAAATTTATATAACCATAGTGCAGAGATCGGCAATCTTTGGCACACGGCCCACCAGGGTAAGCACCCTGGCTGGCCGAGCCGGTTTATTTACCTGCCACATCCGCAGGTTTGGCTGATCACAGCTCCCACTGGCTGCAGTTCGCCGCTCCAGGCCAATGGGGGCTGCGGGAAGCAGCGCAGGCTGAGGGAACGTGCTGGCTACCACTTCCCGCAGCCCTCATTGGCCTAGAACGGCAAACCGTGGCCAGTGGGAGCCGCGATCGGCCAAACCCGTGGACGCGGCAGGTAAACGAACGGGCCCGGCCCGCCTGGGTGCTTACTCTGGCGGACTGCGTGCCAAAGATTGCCAATCCCTGGCATAGTGTCTTGCTTAAGGTTGTTTGGTGTTATTTCACCTTTTGAACAAGCAATCAATCTGAAAAATAAATTTTCCATCATTATTCAAGCTCTGACTGTTGGAAACAAAAATTTAAAGGTTACTTTTTTAGCCTCAATTAATTTCAAAATTCAAATCATGTCTCTTGCAACATTATTGTTTAGAGCTCCTCAGCATACATAAACACAGGCCCTGCGCTTCAAAGAGCTTATATTTGAGCCACAACTAATAATTTATAGAATCAAAATACACAGGCAAGAAATCATATCAAACTTGCTGGTAAGGTGGTCAGCTAGGGAAGGATTAAGAATAGGTACTCTGCTGCAGAAATTATTTTGCCAAAATATGTTGTCAAATATAGGGAAAGATTAAAACAATTAGGTAAGAATTGGAGCAATAGATTATAAATACTCAGATACTACAAGGATGAGTATACCTAAAGAAAAAATTTAAAAAGATAAAATGCAGTAATAAAAATATAAAATGAAAAAAAGGCTTAAAAATAAAAATTGAAATAGAAGGACTAAGATTGATATTAAACTAGTAAGGACAAATAGCTAAGGACTAAAGCCACTTGTTTTTATTTTTATTTAGATTGTTACTTCTTCGGGACAGGGGCTATTGTATGCCTTCGAAGCACTATCATGCTTTTGAGTGCCATATAAAAATAAATCATTTTTGGTATCTTCATCCACCACTACAATTTAATTTCCCCCAAGGATTATTTCACAAGTATGGAGATGCTGATGAATAGGTGAGAAAATCTCAAGGTTATGTTCACTACAGTAACTTGCAACTTTTCACACATCTACTAACAAGCCAATTACCAACAACAAATCCTCATGTTTAGAAAGATTTGCAGTGGATGCACACAAAACTGAAAGGGCGACAAAGTCAGACACTTAAATATTTTCCTATCACACATGAACAAATTATTTATTTTTTAAGGACCAAAGCATTACAAACAGACAATTACTTAAGTCTTGGAAAACCATGCATTAATACTGTAAACTTTTGAAGATGCTTCTCCCCCAACCCTCCCATTATCAACTAAACAATAGGATAATAGAAGACAAAGTCACAGGAGACCAGTGGAAAACAGATTTAACTTCTCCAATATTAATTGTGTACTACAATGTATTACCCAACTTGTTGTTTGCAGTGTCTTTGTAACCATGTTGGCCCTAGGAAATCAGAGACACAAGATGGATGAGGTAATATCTTTTATTGGACCAACTTCTGTTGGTGAAAGAGACAAGCTTTCAAGCTACACAGATCTGAAGAAGAGCTCTGGGTCTCTTTCACCAGCAGAAAGTGGTCCAATAAAAGATATTACCTCACCCACCTTGTCTCTCCAGTACCCAGCTTGTGTAATTCAGAACAAAAAACTTGAACTTGGGTACAACTCATATTCTGTATGACAAAGAAAGGGGTCAAAATAGTCGTAGTATTGGGTTTGTAACCTTCTCCAACCTTCCAATCCAAAATACCTTTTGAAATTGACCCCTACAAATACCCTATTCTTTTAGCCACGTTTAGAAAATGGTGCAACCATGCCACAAACCATCTCACAGTTAATAAGTAGTGACAGAAAGAGGCGATTAGTCACAGACTGCACTTCACTATGTATTCACCCTGTGCAGAGTATAGAATCATGACATTCCAATGCTGACACAGCTTAAAAAGGGGATGGGGGAATATCACAAGAGCACAAGATGTCATTTTATATTTATTTGACATCAATGACGTCTCCCTTGTTAGAATATCACTGAATGCTCAAAAGACATGGAAGACAATTTATAATTAGCACAAAGAGGCACAAAGACTATGTTAGGCCCATTGCTTAAGAGGATAAAACAGAATCACCCTGTATGCTATGGGTTAATTATATTTCAAATAATCAAACTGTGGAATATCTATAAATTTGCATCACTGTCACATATTCTGTACTGCACTTCAAGAAAACAGTATTTTCTTCCAAAGAACTGCTGCTGAAGACAACTCACTAAAATCACAGTTGTGACCATAAAGTCACTTTGGTATATTCCTGTATCGTGAAAAGCTTCTCCCTCCCATGCCATGAACAAAAATTTGGGCCAAGTAATAATACTGAAGTTAAGTTAGCAGACACATATCTATAATGTGGGAATTAAGGGTGCGGGAGGTGCTACAGCACCCCAAGGTTTTATGCGGGGTCCCGGCAGCCAGCTCCAGCCTTGGCCCCCTTACCCCTGTCCCAGCCCCTCCACCCCCCATTCCAGAGACACGGCCCTACTCCTGGCCCCAGTTGGGGGGCAAACAGGGGTAAGAGGGCTGGCTTTCAGCACCCCCACTATTAAAAATGTTCCAGCGCCACTGCACATATCTATGGTCAGAGAGCACCTTATATTTCAAACAGAGAAAAAATGAAATTAACATCAAAATCCCAGGAATTTCAAAGTTAAGGTTGCATTGCCACAAGTCATAGGACCACACCCTAGCAGCTACTACTACCTCACCTCTGTAGAAAGGCAACAGAAGTGAAATGTCACACTGACATGAATATCAAGCATTCCATAAAATAAAATGGTCAGTGTAAGCAAAGAAGAAAAACTGCAGTATTTTCTGCTTCAACCAGAGAATATTGCGTTTGCAACTCTAGTGGGACAAAATTAATTAGAATAGTTTTTTGAGTATGATCTCATGTGAAACTGATCTTAATGCTGAGTCTCCTAGCTTTCTACTTTTCTTGTTTTAATTTAACATTTTTAAAAACAATGTACACTAAAAACACTAATATCTTCACTTGACGACCAACACAACTGGTAGCTAAGCAGTCTTAAAATATAGTGTGCCATAGGCAAAAAATCTCTGTCAGTCACATGTTCTCACTAACGTTGCAATTGTTTTCTAAATGCTGGAGGGATGTATCACTCTAAAACTAACTAATGAAATCTGTGCTATTTAGAAAGATGATTTTAATGATTCAGCAAAATCAAACTACACTGGCGCCCATACTGCTGCCCATTTAAAGAAAACTGTGAAGACCGAGGTCAAAATTAGATAAGTTTAACAAAATTCTTATTTCAAAATTGTCCTTGTTTTTCTTGTATTTCTTCCTTTCTGTTTTCTCTGAACTTGTACTTTACCATCATGATTCCAGATTATTCTTGTCAATGTACAACTCCAATATCCCAGTTTATTATAATGTACCACATTACACACAAAGAACAAATAAGACAACTTCAGATGATTTGCACAACTCAAGGTTCATAAAAAGAGTCATTTATGTGGAAATGATCTTATGGAAAAAAGTGTTTTAAGAATCTCAAAAATGAACTAATTTTGTAGTTTAAAATATACTTACACTACAAAATATTAAATATTCTTAAAGCAAAAAGGTAGAAGAGGCAAAATATAAGATGCATTTTTGTTTTAGAAAGTTAAGAGAAAGTAAAGAAAATTATGTAGTGAATGTTCTCTACTATTCAAGCATGGGGAAGGGAAGCCAAAACTTCTGAGTTCTATACCAAATTCGTCAAAGCATTTCCTATGCGACTCTTAAGCAAATGACCACCTTTCTGCACCTCAGTAAAACAGGAAGCTACCTCACAAGTATGTAGAGGCTTAATATTTATAAAAAAATGTTGAAATATTTCAGTGAAAGGTAATATAAAAGTTATCAGTTTGTACAGACTGTCCCGGTTAATAAAGAGAGAGTTTAATAAAGTAATGCACCGTGATAATGGTCAGCACTTTAGTAAAGCCTGAAGCTATAAAATACTCAATATTTCAACCCTGTGGCACAATGTATGTCTACACTATGAAGACTACACGAGCATAGCCCCATAGTAAAGATTCAGCCTACACCGACCAGAAGGAGTTTTTCTGTCAGTGTAGGAACATCACCTTCCTGAATGAAGCTATGTCAATGGAAGCCCTCTTCTGTCGACATACCTACGTCTACATTGGGTTTTTTTTCAGTGTATCTATACTGGTCAGGGGTGTGAGGTTTACTTCAAACCCGACTGATGTAGTTATGCCAATATAACCTTTCCGTTTAGATCAGCCACAGTCTCCCTCAAAAGACTTCCTTTATGTGCTAAGACTAATTCAAAAATGTTAAGTGTCAGGTCAAAAAGCGGTTTGAACAGGGCGTAACTAAAAAAAAAGTTAAGATTTTGCTCAAGTAC